AGCATGTAAATTGCTATAGAGTTTATATGTTTATTTATCATCTCTCAGTTGTGTCTCTGTCTTTTGGCAAAACGTGACTCAGTGTGATTTTCCTCAGTTGTCCTCTATGAGGTGCCTAGCCCTGGGAGCCGATGCCTGAGGCTGCACCTTCTTATTGCACCAGAGAGAGGGATTGGTGCTCACACTGAGGCATTAACAACCAACGGTTGTGGGGAGCTTGGGGAATATTTGTCCTTAGCCCGAGTGCATGCACATTAAACTGACCTTGTGTCTCAACTTGACTCTGTGTGGGGTCAAGTAAATACCTACTATAAAGTAGAGTTGGGACTTTTTAACCCAGAATTTGTTGGATAATTGTGCTCCAATTTCACATTTATTCATATAGATTCCATAATATAGGTTTTACTTAATTAGCTGTTGTGTTTGTCCAACTCTTCAAATGTTGAATGTATAACTAATTCTAATTTCTCTTTTCCCATTTTCACACTATATTAATTTTATCTTATATATTATCCCCTGTTCTGTCACCCATGAAATAAAAATAATCGTTTGTAAGGAAAATAAGCATCTATATACATCAAATCGTCTTTAAATTAAGTGGCAGCAGAAGAAATATTGTTGAACTTTTAAAAGGTAAACTTAAACATTAATTCAATACTTAAATGCAGTGATCAGTTTTGAGTTCTTCTGTAGTTTATTGATGCCTATCGCATCTACTCCTCCCTAGCTATTATGATGATGGCCAAACCAAGTGTCCTCCACAGGAACTAGCTTAAATGCTGCCTGATAAGGAAGCTTTTAAGCTAGTTTCTAATAAAATGTGCATTGCAGTTTTGGATACAAAAGGAAAATAAGAGTTACTCCCCTTGAACCATGAAAGCAACAATAATGGTTAGTATAATATATTAGTATATATTTTTAACCTCACATAATCTGGCAACCCTGAATCTGAGCTCAACAAAAATAGTTCCCTGTGTCTAACTTTTCTAGGGCTTTTGAATGAGGTATGTATCATTGAAATTGGACCAGTGTGAGGAGGAGTTGCTTGGGCACACACATGCACAAACACGCACGTATACACTGTACTTTATATATGAGTGGAATAAAAATCTATTTGCATTTAGAATAGAATTTAAAATGGAGTGGCAACTGAAGTTTACAACTGATAAATTTTCATTTAATTTTCTCCACTTTTTTCTTATAATGAAATTTGATGTTTTTTTTACAATTATTGCTTATCAAATGTTTTAGTATTTTTTTCTTCTTTCTTTTCATCATTTATGTGAAACAAATATAGTACCCATCAAAACTGACAAGCTTATTTATCAGAATTAATACTTTTGCATAAGACAAGATCATATGTTTGCTTTGTCTAGGATCAGGATATTGTCTGTGTATTCTCTGAAAAGTATGACACATAAATACAAATATATGTGGATATTTGCATAATTTACTCATATATAAATAATTCTGTCAGTTTTATAACCACTATACTAGTAAAACATCCATAACTTCAATAAATGAGATCAATGTTAAAGTAATTTTCCAATGTTATTCTACTTATATATAAATGAAAAACTTTCTTAGTCTGCATTCTTTTGCTTATGTTCAATTCTTTTTGAATATTAAACTAAACAAATAACATTCTAATCTCCACTAAATAATTATGGAGTTATATTTAATATAAGTTTCAGCAAATGGCTTGTCTATAGGTTTGAGATAATGACACTAATTGTGCTGGCAAACTAAGAATACAGAAAATAAAAAAGAAAGACGATGAAGTGGGGAATAATGAATGTTTGAATTTCTGAGATTATTTCTTTATTTAAAAAAAAGTAAAGAACATATGCATATATTTATATTTACTGTAGGATTTTGTAAATAAATAATGAGTAAATATTCTCTTTAAATTGATGTGTTCATTGGAGTTTCATGGGAATTTGGAGTTCACAAGCGATCCCCAAACCCGCATGTATAGAATCGATCGATGGGGGATGGATGGCCTTGATGCACGATTAATTCAATTGGAGTTGGCTCAACCCACTCTGGGTGAATGCCGTTACAAGACAAGAAGAGACTCTTTAAATGAAATAAAATTACTGCTTGTACAAAGTTTTTGTCAGTTTTTGTGTGTCTTATTTTGTTTTAAAAATTATTAAAAGGAAAATTATTTTTGTTTACCCAAACAAAAAACCCCTAACAATGCAATCCAATATTGTTAACATGAAACATATGAGTGACTGGCAATGAAATATCTCACCTGAAATAGGAGAAATCAAGGCACTCGACTGCTAAATACTTACATAAAATCATGTATTTTATATTATAGAATATATAATTGTCTACTATTGGTTTTATATTTTATTTTATTTACAGCTAGAAAAAAAAGAAAATATACGTTTTTTCCTTAAAAGCTTAAAAGAAAATTTGTCAAAATCTGGATTTTCAGTCTTTTATTCTTCAAGTTTATTTTTAAAGACATGGATGACTTGAGCCCATCAATAAATTTGAAGAATAAGACTTTGAAAATCCAGATTTCAACAATCTTTCTTTTAAGCATTTAAAGGGGATAATATCTACTAAATCTGAAGATATTTTACTTGTACTCTTAGTGTAAAACTTGAAAATGCTGTTGAACTCTTGACAAAACATAAATTCATAAAAAAATAAATTATGGCTAGTAATGAGGAATTTAACAGTGATTTGTATTATTTATTGTTAAATGATGATAGAAAGAAAGTAACTGAACATCTTATTCAGTAGTCTATATATCAGGTTGTTTACCATATGTTGCTGACTTTTTTTTCTTACATAAAATTAGTTGAAGAAAAAAAAACAAATCATAGAAATATTATAAAACAATATGAAGGGAGACTGAAAAGTTCTTTACCTAAGGAAATATTCTGATATTTGGTCATTTGGTCAGATTTTGGTAAGTGGGTTAAGTTGAAAACTTTTCAGCAATTCCTTGTAAATTCATTGAAGAACTTTTTCTACATCATTTTTATTGGAGAAGTCATAGCCAATTAGAAAGTAGTGTAGATGTTTGAAAAAAAATAAATAAAAAGGTTCCCTATAAAAGATGGTTGCATGAAAAGGCTATCATGTTATTTATATAACGTGAGTATGGGTATTATAATTCTGTAAAATGATACCATTTTTATTCACCAAAGTAGGCTCTAAGTTTTGATTACATTATTTTAAGCTTGTCTGCCTATGTACAGTAACCATGTCATTTCACTAAAAAACTACCTTAACTTTTCTAAGGATGGTTTTGGTTGATATTTCAGTTTTTCCTTCACATCCACACATTGTACAGATTTTCTTCAGTTACTGTACAGAATCTGACAAATGATAGAATACATAAACAAATCAATTTCATTTCATTTAAACATGATCAATACAAATCTTTGTTCCTCATCCGGTTCAAGGGAAATACATTTATCAAACTTTTTTCCACTTGCTTTAAAAGGTTTGAAATAGTTCCAATCAGCACATTTAAATTTCCTGTAATTTCTCCAAGACTTAATTTTCTATTGCAGCTTTAAAATTTTTATGATTGATTAGTTTAAGCTAACTTCTCAAGGATTTACAAACTGCAATCTCCAATTTAAAATGTTTTAAACTGAAATCTTACTGTTTGTTCACTCACCACATTGTCTTCAAATATGGAATTTATTTGTCAATCTTCAGTTTTATAATGTCCCTGCTTTGTTCAAAGATAAAAATCATGACTTGAAAAGATTTCAATATTTAAGAAAAAAAAACCATGTTAAAATCAATAAAATAGAATTTTTACTGGAAAATTAATAAATGGTATTTAGAAATAAAATATTGGTTAAAAATGCTATAAAAATATCAAAATTTAAACAACAATTTACTTTTAAATAATGTAATAATGCAAATATTTAAATTTTTAAAGAGGATGATTTTTTTTATCTTTATAAATTAACCTGAAGTGAAAGATTTTTTGTTTAAAGTCTCCTTTAAAAATTGGATGTTTATTTTTTTTTATAACTTTCATGGCTAAAAAAAATCTGACAAGCTATTTATACAAGGAATAATAATCTTTTTTTGAGTTTCAGTGAAGTTGATTTCTATTTAAAAATAAAAATGGTACCAAAAGTTCTACTTCTGCTGTTGAACATAGTTTTCATTTATTTATTCATTTTTTTTCTTTTTATTGTAAACAATATTTACTCTTGGAATCTGATAAATAGATTTTGTGCTGTCTTATTTTTCAAGCAGATATGCATAGGTCTTCATTCATTCTCTTTTAGTTGGATTTGTTTGGTTTGTTAGATTTCTAATTCTGCAATTAAAGCAAATAAATTGGTCCTGACCTAGCATCTCAGCTTCAGTTACTTACCCACCATCATAATGTAGCTTCACTGTGCCTTTTCTATAAATATTTACATGGTAATTATTCTGATGAGCTTTTATTTTTTTATACCTTGACTTCATAAATTTAAGTGCAGTACTAGATTGGCAGCTAGGTTTCATCATTTTACAGTTGAAATTGCTAAATGTAACCATAAGATCTATGTTAAGTTCTTGCACTTCTCACTTGTTGAACTCTTTCATCCAACTTTGATCTTCAAAAATTTAAATGTGATATCTATTGTTATCTAGTGTCTTCATTACTTCATTATCTTTTGTCTTCTTTTAATTCCTGTTCATTTATTTTTCTCTCTCCTTAATGTTTTTTTTCTCATATTCTTTCACACTTTTTATTTCCTTGTTTGGTGTGAAATGATTAAAAGAAACAAAAAAAGTACATGGATAACTTTGAATAGTGTAATATTAAATTATTGTAAGTGTTTGTGACTTGAGCAACAAATATTACTATTGTCTTTATCTGGTTTGGTTAATTCTGATTAATATATTAGCATTTACATAGCTTATATATATGTGTGTTGTTTCACAGTTAAAATTATATTTTTTATTCAATTCTGTAGAATTTTCCACTATGTTGATAATCCATTTCACTCCATTCAATAATGGTCTACTTTTTTTTTCCCCAGCTCTGTGGTCAGTATTCTCGGGACCTAGGATCCTTTGCCCAGTACCAAGCAGAACAACTAAAGAAACCAGATGCATATACCTTAGAAAAAATCAAAAATCGAGGATATACAGCAGAACAGTTAGAATCACAATTTAATGCAATACCTCAGTTACGAAGGGAATCCATATCCCTTCAGTTTGTAGATGATGGTTCAGCAAAACCTCCTGTTGGCTTTTGGGCATATTGGGGTTAGTATGATTATTTTTAATTTTATCAATCTGCTTATAATATCTAGAAATCAGAACTATGAAATTCAGCCTTTTAACAGAAAAATATGTCATAAAATAAATTTACTTCAGGTAATTAACTTTATCTGATCAATTTATCTTTTTAATTTATATTAATGGAGTATTTTACGGGATCATTTTCTGTTTAAAAAAAAAACAAAATGAATATTTAAAATAACTGAATATTCCTCTGTTGTCAAAATAATTGCTTTTTATAAAAGGTTTAATAAATAATTTTATTTATTTTATTTTATATTTATAATGTTCTTAAAACTTAAACCAGTTCTTAGCATAAATTAGAATATGGTTGATCTATGCTATTTTATTTATATTAAAATAATTTTCTTTTTATATTAATAGGAAATGAAAATTCTTGTATCAGCTTCCAAAGTATGACAAATATCTTAATGTTTATGGCTTAGTACATACATGTACAGAATGAAACTGATAAATTGTTTTAGAAAGATCAAAGTGCAGTGAAAGATCTCATTTCTGACATTTTTGTTCTTGTGGTTAAGATCAGTGTTTTCAGTTAAATAACAATTTACAATCTGGTCTTCAGCCTAATTTATAGAACTGAATAAACCAGCTTTTATGTTGTGTTTTTAAAAATGTCTCAATTAAAATTAGAAGGCCCAAATGAACATTCTACAGTGATAATTAATTAATAAGTTTCACATTACTTGTGCTTAATGTTTTTAAATTCTAGCACTGACATCATTGCATTCTATTTAGTTATGTATATATAGACTCTTAATTTTATGTAATGTTTTCAAAAATATTAAGTCTGTTTTTTTTTTTGTTTTTTTTTGTCTGATTTTATTCATATAGATTTTGGGATAAAGCATGATGAGAAATGTATGGTTAAAAAGAAGTTCTCTAACATTTTGTTCTTGTTTCATTCTTCTTGACTTCATTTCAGATCAATGTATGAAATTAAGAGATGCAGCCTTTCACAAAATTGGAGAAGATTGGGTTTTTTTAGCATTGCTTGGAGTCACTATGGCTTTAATGAGTTTTACAATGGATTACATCATCGAAAAGTGCCAAGAAGGTAAATTTATTTTTTGTTGGAGTTTTAAAACTTTTATAATATAGTATTATATATTAATTAGTAACATGTATTGCCACAAATTTAGAGAAAGTAGTTAATCTATGATTTATAAAGTTGAGTAAATACTGTTGATAAATATTTCTGCTTTTATTATCTTTTTTTCTTTTGCTGAATAACTTTCAGTTATATATAACTATTGATATAATATAAGGACTATTATTCATAACTAAAGTCATTCTTAAAAAACAAATATTCCATGTAACACTCTTTCAGACTTTATTAATATTCAAATTAAAAGTTAGTCCTGCCAATAATTTACCCCCTTAAATATTAATGGAACAGGCAAATTATAACAAGTTCATTAGATCTGTATTAAATAAGGAGTAAAAACACTTGCTTAGATTAGAAAGAATGTGATATGACTTCATAAAATATATAAATAGCTTATGAAGTCAAAATTATGAGGATTGTTAAGAAAATCATATTTAGATATTTTGTTCCGCTTTAAGTTTCATCCCCAAAGGAAATACTGGCAAATACAAAGATGCCTAGATATGTTCTTGTCATTTTTACAATTTTCAGATCCTGGTTAGTGTGGCAGTGTATTTTACATCCTTTTCTCTTGCTAAAAGGTGACTTATTAGACATTATCTTTTGTTGTATATTAACAGATCTCTTTTATAGGGCAATTATCATTTTACACCCCCAATACTAAATCAATATCAAATCATGGTGTGTATATATATATATATATATATATATATATATATATATATATATATATATATATATATATATATATTGCTGCTTATATGTGACACTGAGTATTTTGTGTCATTTGATATATCTAGTTTATTCACAAATGTCTCGCTTGATGAAACAATCGATATTTGTGCTGACTTCTCGTATCATGGCTCCATCTTTTCCTGTGGTTGTCTTTGTTGATTTGATGGAGATGGCTATTAAGTCTCTCCTTCAGCTTCAATAATTGTATGTACTAACAGATAGATGGAGTGGCGATGGGTAGTTCAGTGGGACCTCTGATGTCCAACATTTTTGTCAGCTTTCATGAGAAAACATTTACATCATTTTCTTCTCATAGTAAAGCAGAAGAGTTCTTTTCATCTTAATAACCTCCATCCCTCTTTGAAATATACTATGGAGGTAGAAAAGAACAATCAGTTACCTTTCTTGGATGTGTTGGTGGAAAGAACACCTTCGAGATTTCTCACTAGTGTTTATTGTAAACCCACCTTTTTTAGACTATACCTTACTTGGGACTCATTTGCTCCCAGAACCAGGAAAATTAATCTTATCAATACCCTTAATCATCATGCTTTGATGTGTTCTGAGTGCAGGCTTGACACTGAGTTAAGGAAAATTACAGCTGTTTTTGAAGAATAGTTACCCTGAATGTGTTATCACAGCTACTATTGAAGACTTTGTAATGGAACAAGGTTAATTGTCAAGATGATGCTTCCTCATCTCTTGGATGCAGAGATCCTTACTGGTACAGGAAAGGAGGAAAGAATTTTAATTCTAAGAATCCCCTTAATTCCTCCAGATCTTCCTTTCAAGTTCAAAAGACTTCAGTTTCCAGTGAAAGTGAGCTATGCAATATCAATCAATAAGTCCCAAGGGCAATCATTGAAAGTAATTGGACTTCATCTGATGGAATACTGCTTTTCTCACGGCCAGCTCTATGTCTGTTGTTCAAGGATTGGGAATGGAAACAAGCTATTTATATTGACCCTGACTGGGGAAAACCAAAAATGTTGCTTATCCTGCAGCATTGCAGTAAGTTAACAAATAGACAAATTATATCATTGTTTTGATGAAAACTGTTAATTGTTTGAAAAATAATGTTCAAGTTTAATAAAATTCAATATGTACTCAATACATGAAGTGTCATTGTTGGGCCAAAGGCCCAATCAAGAGTGCTCTGCAGGAGTTAGCTTAAATGCCAACTGATATGGCTGCTTTTGAGCTAGTACATATATATATATTTGTGTTTGTGCATTTGTGGACTGTTGTCCATTTTCATTATACATTGCACAGTAATAAGAAGACTAAATAAATAATTATTGTGTTTCATAGAATATATCTATTTTTTTTTTATAGATATTGTACTATCCTACTAACTAAAAAAGATAATATTAATATCATTAGTAATATATTTAGGGCATTTTTTGGATATAGGTGATACTTCCTTGTCTATAATTTGTCAGTTGCCATGGCTGTTCTTCAGAAAAGTTGTGGATTGATTTTCCACTGCCTTCTCTGCAGCTTTGAATTTAGAGTTGTTCTTTTCCTAGCCTGTTGTCCTATAAAAGCTATGGATTCCATTCCATCTTAGTATTTTATGCATAGTTGGAAAAAGAGTTAGATTCATGCCTTTCTCAAATGTAATAGTACAGAATGAATGTAAATGCCTTGGCCAATATTTGAACTCTGCCTACTGATTTCATTTCCCACACTGATAATTGTTACATGACCCATGCATCTAATCTAGAGAATTGGAAAATATGTTCTTTACTTTTCACAGAGTTTAAATTAACAATTAACATTCATGCTATTGTTATTTGAGAAAATTCTAGTTGGTAAAAATTTAAATGTCGCTGTTCAAGTTTAACATCTTCTAATTAATTACAGTTAGTAATCCAGTCAAAGGTTATGTAATCTTTTCTGAGCAAACACTTTGACTTTCTTGGAATTTCAGCTGATATTTTTAAAAATCTTTTTACTATAATGCCAAATGGCATTATAATTACTGTTTATTCCTAGTTTTATTTCAGATGACTTATTAGCAGAATTCTTATGACAGAAAATGATTACAAGAATTTTGCAATGTTAATAACACCAGTTTCCTGTTACTGATGGCAAATGCTTGTACATCTATCAGACAGATATTAGCCATATATTTTGTAAATTTGATAATATAGATATGTATCTTTCAAGGCTTGACAATTTGTGTGTCTCTCAGAGCATGGTAATTTGTGTCTTGTGTGTCTCTCATGGCAATTTGTGTATCTTTCAGCACTTGATAATTTATGATTGTGAAAGACATGTAGAGTAATTTCTACTATTCTCTTTGGTTCTCCACTCTTGAAAATGATAAGGATACTAATCCAAATCATCAATGTAATAATTACTCTTCTTTATATATTTTATTTGTATTCTTTAAAAATAAAATTTCTTGTGCCTTTGTTATGGTGTCAATATCTTTACATCAGAAAATGTGATAAATATTGTGCCATAATGATTTTTTGCATAGAAAAAATTGTTCTTTAGTGTGTATGTTTGTAGTATCTCTATATTTTCTATGAGGAACTGGAAGTTTTGACTTAATGAAGTAAAGTGGTTGTAGTAGTCAATTCTTTTGAAATGTTGCTTAATTGTAAAATGTAACTGGTGTTAGCTTGGAATTTTAAAATGATGAATATTTCAAGATAAGGGGCAGGGTAAACTAAATCATTTGAAAGTATTGAATTTTCACGTTAATGTGTTTTGCATTTTTCATATTTAGAACTTGAGCTGACAATTATTCAAATACAAAACCTTCCTCAGTTTTATTTTTTTTCAGAAAATTAAAAAAAGAAAATATTACAGAAAAGTATTGCAGTTTGAGTTCAGGCAAACTTATATATATTAATTGTTTTACCCTAAGTAAAGCAACAAAATCACTAAGACACAAGAGCTTACTGAAAGAATCTGATAAAAACATTAAGGAGAGAAGACAATAAAAGAACAGGTTTCAAAGTGACAGCATATGACAATTGACATTGCCTTAAAACTTTTGAAGATAATAATTAACTGGAAAGCAAGAAGCTGGAAAAGAGAAGAATCCCAAAAGCAAGAAGTGCAAGAGAAGAAACTGTTAGCAGAGAACTTACAAATTCAACTGTAAGATGATGAGACCTAATTACCAATCTAGTACTGTGCTTAAATTTATAATGTCAATGTACCAAAGAAGAAAGCCCATCAGAATAATTACCATGGAAATATTTATAGAAAAGGTACAGGGAAGAAAAATCTATCAGACTTACTATTAAAACAGGTGTTAATTACTGTCATCAGCATAGATACCAAGTTGGAAACTGATGTCATTAGGAAAGTCATTGAGGAATATAAAAAACAAAGTAGATCCAATAATAGAGCTTTGGGGAACACCTGCATTAATGTAAAATGATCTAGAATGATCTTCAAGGTAACTTTCATTTTTTTTTGCTTTGGTAAAAAAAATTGAATCAAATCACTAATTTGTTTACATTATGGATAGACACAAAGAGATGCTTGTTGTGATCAAAACTATTATCAAAACTGCTACAGCCTGAAAAAGTGATTCCTGCCCGTGATCTATACTGTGAACCAAGTAGAAGATTGTGGTTTCACCTGGTTTTAAAATTTTTGTTCAGGTGATAACTTAATGGTTTAAACTGGATTGGAGAAAATGAATTCTACAATTTAGTGTTTGTTGCCAGGCTGTTAATTTATTGTAACCAATAATTGATTATAGTACAAAATAACCAGTATTTGCATTAATTTTATTACTAATGATAGTGCAGTTGGAAGATAACTTTTGAATTATGACTTCTAATTGGTTTTGCTAAATTGGACCTAATTTCTGAGATAAAGGATGTCCCTATATTTGAGAATTCAGTTAGGCGAGTCTTAGATTTTCATGTATATGCATTTGTTGCTAAATTGACTTTTAGACATTTTATCTATCTAACTGATTTCAGATTTAATGTTGGAAGTAATTTTAAATTCATTTCAGAACCTTTTATTGAAATATTAAAAAAAAAAAAAAGCAAAGAATTTAATAGTGTACCCACAAATCATGTTAAATCATATCAAAGTAAAAACCTGAAGAACTTAATATTATATACTAAGAAAAACAAAATAGGCTGATTTGGGTGATAAAAATAATGGAGAGAAAAATGTTATTTGTATTATTTTCTTTTGTGTTAGCAGGGCAAGCACATTGGAGGCTCCAGCAATAGTTTGCCATCATGTGTCTGTTTCATCTGGCTTGATACCTTTCCTCCATCTTTATATCCTGATGAAACTTCTCCATTTGTTTCTCACTAAAATCACCAACATTCTCTGGAAATCTATCCAAACAGTTATGGAGACAGTATACTTTTCTTCATATTATTAGTTCTTGTTAACTAAGATATAAGTGCAACAAGCAGTTGATTCAACATCATTCATAAATTTTTGTGCAGAAGAAATCACTTTGCTATTGGCTCCATGATACAAAGGGAAAACCAGGGTAGACTCATTCTGTTGTTTATAACAGAAAATGGTTGATGGAATAGCCTGGATATGCAGCCTATGGATTTGCAGTTTATGGATTAGTGTACCTAATTTTGAACAAATATAAAGTCAGTGGCATTGAACAAGTGACGAGGTGAAGAAAGCTGATAGTGGGAAAAGTGGATTTGCAGCGATTTGGATGTACAACTCTATGAATTTGTGACAGTTTGTTTTATTTTTATTACAATTTTGAGGTACAACAGTATTATTCTTTTGAAAGCCATGTCATCTTTTCAATGGTCTTGCTTTGCCCTAATACTCCATAAGTACAGGGTGTGATGGGTAAATTGTTGCCATTTATATATTTTTAATTTTATGCATGTGAATTGATTGTTTTTGATTTTGTCAACTGCACTGTATAGTAGGGTCAGTTGGACACCATCTGTGAGAAAAAGAGCACCATGATGCAATTCACTCTGCCAGAAATTTGGGAACGGCATGCTGTACTGCTTGCCATTTGTGCTGGAAGCTTCAATACAAACATTTCACAGTGTTTTTCTCTCAATCTAAGGACAGTACATAGAATTCAGGAAGAGTTTAATGAGTCTAATGGTGATTATGAAGATATGGCAGCTCAGAAAACTCACTTTGATCATTCTGATAAGAAACTCCCAAATTTGTTGGTGAGGGCCTCAGACTCAATACAATAGCCTATATCAAGTGCCTTGAAGAGGTAGTGCTGCCTTGGGTGGCTGCTAGAATAACCTATGTCTAACAACAGGAATCTGCACCATGTCACATAAGCAGGAGAACCCAGTCATGGCTGTAAGACAATTTCTGCAACCACATCACCCCTTACATTTGGCCATCTAACTCCTTTGACTGCAACCCCTTGATTATTATGTGTGAGGTGCAGTTGAGCAAAAGACCAACAAAACTCCTTGTAACACCAAAGATGAACTGAAGGCAAGGATTATGGCAGCATTCACCAACTTAAACAAAGAGACCATCCAAAAGAGTTGCAGGAGATTCTGAAATCATCTGGAGGCTGTGATTGAAGCCAATGGCGATGTTATTGAATAAATTTACTCTTTAGTATTTCAAGATATTTTTGTGTAATTTTGGTAAATATATCTGTTAAAATGAGATGTCAGTGTTATTTCATTTTTCCTAATTTAGATGACAATTTATCCATCGTCCATCTAGATGAAACAAAGGTACTTTGCATATCTACTATTCTGTCCAAGTCAGTTATCTTTACATCTATGCAAAGAGACCACTGATGTTCATGATAGCAGAGTTTCTCATATACTTCTTTATATTTCATTGAGTCAGCAATTGAAAGAATTATATAATGGTTACTATTGTGCAATAAATAAAATTTGAAGCTTTTTCTTGTCAATATTTTGGTATTTATTTCTGTTTGGAGAAGAGGTCTATATATGTCATTGCAGTATTAAAGTTCTTCACCTTGGATGGAGTAAGGAAGAAATCCCTCCTCTCTTGAACAATAAACTTTTATTTTTATTTCCAGCTTTAGACAGTTTTTTTCTTTAACCTTGATGCTAAAAGTTCAGGCACTTGCTTCAAAAGATTATTGTTTCATATCAAATCATAGAGCTCCTTTTTGGAAGAATTACTCAGTTGTTAAAAAGCCTGTTTGATATTTACTTTTCACTGCTACCACCCATATAAAACCCACACCCTGGTTGATTCTGGTTGACCAGATATGACCCTTGCCACATGCTGCCTATACCAGCAGATGACTTGGTCATCAGAGTTGTAGGATGATGAATTGATTGTAGGGTCAATCCCACGCTGGCTACTACTGTTGCTGGTCAACCCTTTCTTCCATCTGGCAATCATGAGACATTTTTCGTAATTTTCACTTTAAGTAAGCAGACATAAATCAATTTCTTCATTTCTGTTTTTGTTTCCAAAATTCTCAACTGACTTTGAATGTATTTTCACTACTCCTTAGTCCTCGCAGGTTGAAATTTTCTATATATGGCCTCCTGATAATATCTGTTCGTTCCCAAAACAATAAAGTCATTTTTTTCAGCTCTGTCTTTTCTTCCTTCTTTCAGTTTATATGTTATTCCTTACTTCTAACCCTTTCCGTCTATTCCAGTTCATATTTTAAATTAACTCATTTCCTTTACAAGTGTCACATAGTGTCATACCCATGTTAAACTCCAAGTCTTGTATTTCTTCAAAATCTCAAGGCAATAATGTAAACACTAAAATGGAAATGTCTTCACTATTTTTCTGCAGTTTGCCTTGCTGGATTCCAAATCAGGAATTCTGCCACTTAATTTCCTTGAAGTGATTAAAACCTTTGAAGCATAAAAATAATCATTTTGATGATTTTACAGCTTTTTCCACACCATAGAGACACCAAAGTCTAAACTTTCCTTTCTCTATTTTGTGGAAAAGTGTAGGAAAAAAAAAAAATTAGGTGCTCCACACAGGAACCCAGAACTTAATTTAACTTACCATCTTGACTCCAAGATAAAAAAAAATATCTTCATGTTTTACAAAGTTAGTAATATGTTCCACTGTTTTTTTTCCAGAATGTATTTACAACAATTGTAAGAATATATTTGGATTGTTTAAGTAAGCTCTTCATGATGAACTTGTATTTCTCTGAGAAAAGAAAAAAAAGATTAATTTTATATTATATGCAATGGATAAATCTGTAAAGTATTATTAAATATAAGATTAAAGAAAAAGGAGTAAAAATAGATTAAACAGTTGTTTTGAGGGTAAAATCACAATTTGAGTTTTCCATTATTTTTGAAAACTAGAGCCAATTCAGCAAAACTAATGTCATTTTTAGATTCAGCAGCCCACACACAATTCTCAAATATTTAACATTTACTCAAACATCTTTGGGAACTAAGCAAGAGTTTTTTGTTGTTACTTGATTTTTTTTGTTGCTATCAGGTTCTGTAAATTTAAATTCACCCTTTGGATTCATATTTCTTGAATGCTTTACCTTCAATTAGAAGCCATTATTTATAGATTATCTTCATAGTTTGATCAATTTCCTTGGATATATGGTATAAAGAAAAAAAAGTAATTTATTCTAAAATTATTTGTTTTTTAAGGTCAACAGCTAGTAAAAAGTTTCAAGCAGTAGTAATTATAGAAATTTGAAGTGTTCCAAAACTAAAAGAAAGATGTAAAATCCCCTTATGACCATAAATATAAAGGGGTGCTGAAAAGTTTTTGATTCGATCCACTTCACAAAAAAGTGACCACATGACAAAACATCAAATTTATTTTTTGGAAGGTCTTTTTGATCAGATCTATGACTTTTTAGCACCTTCTCCTAAATATTCATTTAATGGATTTGAATAAATAACCTAGTATTTTATTTCATATAATCAATTTAATAAATGTTTGTTATATATTTTTATATTACAATGTTTTGAGAGATTATAAAAACCTGACACCCAGTAAATTTTGAAAATTATTCCATGATGAACTGAAAGAACAAATACTAGTGTAGGATATTTTGTATTTTTGATTTTCATTCTAAATAGTTTTAGAAGAAATTAATCTGAAAATAAATGTTCTTTTTTCTTACTTTCAGCAAAACTGTGGTTATATGAAGAATTGGCTTTCTCATTAGCTTTACAGTTTGTCGCTTGGGTCTTATATTCCTTAGTTTTCATTTTGTTTGCCACTGGCTTCACACATTTGGTTTCACCACAAGCTATTGGTAAGAATCCTTTTCCATTTTTATTTATCTTTTAATACTTTGATATCAAATGTATGAAAAAGACTTTTCAAATAACATATTCTTAGAAATAGAATAATTGTATATTTTTGAATATTATTACAAGTCTAAAGATAATTGTTCATGGCCTGCTTAACTAGTCTGCATCAACTAAAACATTGTCATTAGAAACTGATTTGAATAAAACCAGGGCTTCAGACTAACTTTTTACACAATTGTTGTAGAACCATCCTGAAAAAAAATTAAATTGCCCCAGAAAAAAAAATTAAAACCATTTGGAAATCAAAATGTTGTTTTAATGTTATTATTTGTAGTTGTTAGTAGCATGATTAAAACACCATTAAAATATTTAGAAAATAAATATTTATTTTGCCCTGTTTAATCTTATCTGTAGGCTCTATACCCTGCAAACATTATTCAGAAATTTAGTTGTTTTTAATACAAGTAGTACAGATTGTAACAAATATTAAGAAAGCTAAAATATTCATGTGTAAATACAAAAACTAATTTCTAAAATTTTATTGTAATTGTTATGAAAATCAAAACTTTAAATCATCTTCAATAATGTTACATGGTAATGTTTTTTATTAATATTCATGCTCTGAGTAACTTAACATATTTAAGAATTCTTCTCAATGCTTTCACTTTGTATTTTAAAATATTTGCACATTCCAACTATTCACAATCAAAAAAAAGTCGTAGTCAAAAGATTTTCATTTACAATTATGTGCCTCTTATTATGACTAAAATTTCCATGTTTGTTTATCATTTTTTTCAAATCACTCTTATATTTTCAATTATGAACATCAGAAACTGTAAAACATAAATATTGTTTGTTAATAGTCCATTCAAGATTTTAACCATAAATTGACTGAGGTTACTGAGAGTAAAAAAAACAAAAAAAAAAAACAGAGGACAATAGAAAAATAGAATTCAAGGAAACAGAAGATAATGATTAAAATTGCATTTAAATTTTTGAAGCAGGAAGCCAGAATAGAATTTCACAAGCAAGAAGTGTGATAAAAGAAACTATTAGCATACTGTTACAACTAGCAATTTCAACAGACCTAGTAGCCAATCTAGTATTGTGCTTAAATTCATAAAGTAAAGGTACCAAGAGGAAAGCTCATTAGAACAATTACCATGAAGATATTTATAGAAAAGGCAAAGGGAATCTACATTATGGCAATGGGAAAGTGACTGAAACCAAGATGTCAGGTCAGGACTGATAATGTTGCCAATTCTTCTTTGGATTTTGTCAAGATCAGATGTGGCTGTAATATTTAATGCATAGATGAATATACTTATAAATGTGCAAGATAAATTCTGGTGTGAAAAAATGTCTAGCACAATATAATGAACCAAATTTTTTAACAGCAGACATAATAATTGATTCAGTATAATCATCTCACACCATATCAATGGAAAACATGAAGCTTAATAAGCACAATGAATAGCTCTCCTGGAGGTTGTCATCAGCCATTGAAGACAAAAGGATTTTTTAAGATGATTAATAAAGAGCAGTTGCATTTTGCAGGTATTAAAATTAACATTTCTTTCCGTGGTTAACAACAGACTGAAGATCATTTTCTAAATCAGCTACCAATTTACTTTTATCAGACCTATTAGACTTACTATTAAGACAGGAGTAAATAGTTGTCATCAGCACAGATGTCAAGTTGAGAACTGATGACATTAGGGAGGTAATTCAGGAAAATAAGGAACAAAGTAGGTCCAAGAATAGAGCCATGGAGAACACCTTCATTAATTAAAAAAAAATTGAAGTGTAGTAATTAATAACAACTTTCATTATCTGATTCAATAAGAGAGAATCAAATAAAAAAAAAAATTAACCAGAAACACCATAACCCTTCAACTTGTGAAGAAGTCCAGCATGCCAAACCCTGTCAAATGTCTTCAAGGTATTTAAAACAAAGCCCAATTTTCACCATTCTTATCTAAAGTTTGAGAGACTCTTTCATCAATAGCCATCAATACATTGGTGGTTGATTGAGAGAAGTGAAAGCCATGTTGTTTGTCTGAAAGAAGACACTATAAAGTGAGGTGCTTTAGAGCCTCTAGTACTTGGCCAAAAAGTAGTAGAAGACTAATAGGTCAATAGTCTGAAGAATCAGATACTTCATCTGACTTAAAAACAGTAACTACACAGAAGGATTTCTAACAATCTGGAAAGCAAGAAACAGCATTGTGTCTATTGTAGAGTATGGAGAGAACAGGAGCCAGTTCAAGGGCATGTTTCTTAAGGACAATTGCAGGGATACCATTGAGTTCATTATTTTATTTGTTTTTGTGTCCCATAGTGGTAGCCAATTTTAAAACAAACACTGATAATGAAATAAAGTATGATACAATGGACAAGTTTGCTTAATTTTATGGTAGATGAGCCAAAGCATCTTTGAATCAGTTAAATATTTAGTGCTATTAATGTACTCAGTAAATTAAGAAAAGTTCAAGTGATGCATTGAAACACTCATTATGGCCAGATGTTTGATAAATTTGATAAACCAAGTGAGTCACTTGAACATTTCTTAATTTATTGAATATAATAACTATAGTTATCTATTGAGTGCTCTTTTTTTTTTTTTTTTGGCAAGTTCTTCTAGCCTGAAAAAATATGTTAACTTCTTTTAATTTTCATGTATTTTGTCAGTTGTATTATTATCATTAATGCTATTAATGTATTTATAGTATAATAAATCTGTATCCTGATATAGTTAGCTAAATTTTGATCTGCAATTTTCATTATATAATGTTTAACATATGTGATTAATATTCAAAACTGAATATTAATCATATATATATATATATATATATATATATATATATATATGCATTGACAAAGGAGATTACTGAAAAATACATTTGTGTAAAATAATATTTTTGTCATTACTGGGCTGAAGATTTACTGATATATATAAATTAAAATCCATAAAACAATATTTTGGCATAAAACAATAGTTGTAAAAGACTGGCTAAATTAATGAAAAAGTGCTCAATACATTTTTCAAATGAAAATGTAAAGCAATTTAGGACATAAAATATTTGAAAAATAAACCTTCCTGTTTCCATGGTTTCTACTAGTTAGTTATTGTCATGCATTAAAATTGGAATTCCATCCCAAGATACTCTTATGTTGCTGGTAAAGGGGGAAAGAAAGAAATAAAGAGGTGAAAAAAAATTATGTTTTATATAAATACACCTACATAAGTTTATAGCTTGCTTATAGGAATTTCCTTGTATTCTTGGATGTTGTCATGATCTTTGATCTTTTGTTAAGCTGTTTATGCTGTTCAGGGTGTAGCACAATCACCAATTTTTCCTCCTGGCATAATTTATACTTCTTATTCCAGTCATTAAATGACTTTTTCTCAACACATCCCATTTCACAATGGAACTTTTGTTATTATTTTTCTCTTGCTTTCCATATATAACTAACAAGTTTTGTGCTGTTTCTCTACCTTGTTAGCTTAAAGTAAGATTTGTGATTATACTATCTTGTTTTAAGCATTCTTTCTATGGAACCAATGTTCACTTTTTTGGGGGCCTTTATAGACTATACTTTAGCTATATAAACAAGACCTTCTACTAGGCAGTTACTGTTCAGCAGACAATTTACTGCATCCTGGCAATTGCATTTTTTCTTAGCTGTTTTCACAGACACTCTCCATATATTAAATTCCTTATCATTTTACCCATTTATTATTTTTTCTGTGTTCCGCATAACTGGTTTTTACAGTGCTTTTATTGAAAACTTTGTGTAACACAGAATTTCTGGGGAAATGCTTCCTTAACAAGGCCAAGAAGATTTTACCAATTTTCATTTTCACCTCTAAAGGGGTGGTCAAACCAAATAATATTTCTTTTTCTTTTCTGGTCACTATTTACAGATGTTATGGCTGGTTTAAATATCAATTTAGTTTTCTACCCTTTATGTAAAGCCCTTCTGTAGCCCCTTTTGGTTTTTTTAAATATTGTAATATCTGAGGAATTCCTAGATAGTCTATACTCGATTCCCTTTGGTATATGGTTGATTACTGACTTAGGGTGGTTCGACTTACTGTTTACATAGAGCAGCCTACCGTTAGGTTTCATGTAAGGGAAGATGCTTTTATTTATTAGAGTTATTTCAATATCGAGGTATCGGACCACTTTTAAATTCATCTCAACATCAATATCGAATCCAAGCACCTTGAAAAGCTTAAATAATTTTTTCCTTATCCCATTATTCTTTCTTCATTTATTTAACAATACCATGATTGTTAATGTGTATAATCTTATTAAGTTCTACTAATAGTCCCATCTGCACCATCGAATGATCCTTGGGAACATCAAATTTACTACTTTTGTTTTTATGCAATATATTGTTATTGTGAAAAAGTACTGATTTATGGAAGTGTTTGATTATATTCGCATGTTCATTTTTCACATCCATAAAGTCTTTGGCAAAGGTCAACACCTTATCAAGCTCCTGCTCTGATATAGATGGATAAAAATCATTTATGCCGTATTTTATGAATACACACTTCTCTTTAGTCCTGGTTTATGACAATAAACTGCATCCAGCAAGCAAGGCCTCTGATCGGGAGGTTTTGAGGAGTGTGGAACCATCTTTTACTTGCTGTTGTTCCCAGGTCCACCCTGACCCAGGGTGGTAGCACCTGTTAGGGTCCCAGCTATGGGTAAATAGTTTCCCTCTCCCCTAAACTGGTTTCTGACTACTAAGAAAGTGTAAAGATGGGTTTTTATGATAAAAATACCAGCAATACAAATGGCAATATATAAAATGCACATTCACAAAAACCGATTCCCCAAAACTACAAATTCCCCTCAATGAGGCCACCTATTTGCTGTGGGTGGGTGACCTGGGGACAGAGTCCTAGTGACTGAGTGACTCCTGATCTGGTATAAAATGACAAGGAGTGTTCACATCATGTCACTTCGGTCCCTAACTGGGATAGACA